ATTGAAAAAAAAAAAAAAAAAAGAAAAAAAGAAAAAAAAGAAAAAAATAACACAAACAACTTTGGTGTTTAGAAGTACACGCAATTTTTGTAGCTCGTAGACTGACAACAAACAGAGATTCCTTTACACTCGCAAATTTAAATCGTATAACAATCGTATCCGGAACGAAGGAGAAGAAAAACGATCGAGAGGGCCGCTCGAAAAAAAAAAAGAAAAAAAAAAAAAGAAAATTTTCGTCACTTTCTCCGTATTCCCCTTCGTATCTCCATTATTCTCCCATCCCAGAGGAGAACGTACGCCAATATTCCGTAAAATTATCCAATTATAGACTCGTGGAAAATTTGAAATTCGATTGATATCGATCGATGGTACGGATAGCGGCCCTCCGACGCGTTAAACGACGCTCGAACGTTTCGTTCTTTCGCTCGTACAATCGCGAATAATCGTATTGATTGAAAACAATTGATACGATTCGTGATCTCAAGGCTCAAATCTCGAGATGTCTACGTCGTTTGGAAGGGAAAATTGGAAAATTGGAAAATTGGAAAGCGAAAGGATCGAAACGCGAGGCGACAAAGTATGGACGAGAAAATTCGTCCAAAAGTATTGCGCTTACCCCGCCCGAGTTAGAGCAGAACAGAAAAATTATACTTATATATAAATATAAATATATACATATATATATATATATATATACATACACATATACATACATATATCAAATATAAATGATTCGATACATACGTATGAGAAAAAAAAAAATGACGCGCGTGACGAAAGCATTATAAAGTTGCGTTCGCGGTACGAGATATCTTTACGAGATAATTCTAGCACGAAGTAATCAAACCTAAAAAAAAAAAAAAAAAAAAAAAAGGTGTATCGATGGTTAATAATAGAAATCGACGATTTCGCTTCGACCAAGCCCCGAAAAAACAAACGGATCTAGCCTTTATCGTTGAAATCGAACGTTTAATAAAAAAAAAAAAAAGATCGAATCTCGAAAATTATTATTCCGTTCAAAGGAACGATTTAACTTTTCGAACTTTTCTTTGAAAAGTTTACGTTTCTTTATCGCGTTGTCCGAACTTTTTGATAAGATATTTATCGTTTTATATTATTTTTCCTAAGAAAATATTTTCGGATTATCCCGGGGGTTTTTTCTTTTTTTTTTAATTCGTTCGAGGAAAAAAACTTTCAACGGAGCAATAAACGATAAAAAAAAAAAGTAACACGGACCATTCAAACAAACATTGTACGCGCGCGATAAAGGTTAGAGAATCCGTTTACCAGATTACCAAGAAGGTGTCATTATTGTCTTGGACGATGACCTTCTCCCAGCGATAAATGGAGAATCGTATCGTGAAGAGAGAAAAGCAACGGATCATCTCTTGGTCCAACTTGGCTATCCGATTTCTATCGATCGCTTTCGAAATCCTTCGATTCTTTCTCCCATCTCGAAAAATCTATCTCGAAAAATCTACCGTTTTTCGTCTCGAGAACTCGACTTGTAACGTCTTTCAACGACTTGATCATCTTTTGCAAAAAAAAAAAAAAAAGAAAAAAAAACGTAAGCGAGGCAACGAATGAACATTTGAAGAAGAAAGAGAAAGACACGAGCAGATTGTTGACGACAAAAAAAATCTGATCGGCCTACAAACATATCCTAAACCTGTTTCTTTAAGGGTACATCAGGCACGAGGACACTTTCGACGATTCCTACTCCTCGAACATGTCCTCGTCCGATGTTTAAATCGCACGGACAATCCTTATTGTGAACGAATGCAATCATCTGTAAACCTGTAGACGAAAGGTTTCCTTCCTTTCTAAAAACGGCTAAGCACACACGTTTTCTACCGTATCTCGATGCGAATCTCTCGCGTCAATTATCGACCGCCATCGTATCGGTTGTCGCGTTGTCACATCTATTCCTATTTTCCTCTTTTTCTTCTTTTTTTTTCTTTTTTCGTGGCAACGCTTGCACTCGTCGGTCGTCGTCGTAATATTTCACGAAGCTCTTCTCGAGGAGAGATGAAAAATTCGAAAAATTTTAGGAAAAATTTGGGAAGGGAAATACGATATCTTTTTTTAATCCTCTGAAAGCTTGGAAACTCTCGTAGGAATTATGGATAGAGGTCGGCGCGCGGCGATCACGCGGAACGACCTCGTTCCATTCCGTTCCGTTCCGTTTCATTTCGCTTCGTTTCTTTCTAAACCCACTATTCAGCTATTCTCTCGTCGAGGAACTCGCGATAATTATTTTAACCTCTCGAAAACGACGAAACCGAGTAAACGGAAAGGAGAAGGAAATGTTTCCCTCTCTCCGTCGTACACCGTCGTCACTTTTTTCTACGAAAAAAACAAAAACAAGATTCAGCCTTCCGATGTCGAGTACGAATCGA